TTTCACGTCCTATTTTGTCTGCGGCCCAAAAATGGCGGAAGCCACGTTGAACCCAAATTCACTTTGTAATACTGTATAAGACCCAAAAAAAAAAAAAATTATCACTGTACGGATATGATGATCACAATAATAGTTTGATCCAAAAAAATAATACTGAGCAATTACTAAATTAGTTATTCTATTCAAATAATGATTTTACTGATTTAAACAGAGAATTCGCACATTTTTGCATTTACTTTTACAATTAAAAATATCTTTTGTGACCACACTAAGAATATTTATTCAATTTTATTACAAAAAAAAAAAATCATATTTGTTTCGCGAACTATAGCAGATGATGCACGCGGCAGTTGTATGTCGTTCCGTTGCGTGCGTTAATGATTTCCATCACGGCCACACAACAGCGGTGCTATTTATGAGGTGGATTACGTCGAGTAAATCCCCGCGACCAAATGCACCTCCCGCCGCTGCCGTTCCAGCCAGCCCAAAGACCACCGCACCCTACTTTGGTAAAACCAAGATCACACAAGCAGGAGACACCATAGACACCTTCACCCTCCCAAACCGAAAGCCATCACCACCGAGAGGTCGCCATCTTGCTTGTCCCCACCACCACTCCAGGTACTTTCCTGTGACGATACGCCACCTGATGTACTCCCACTTGCCGTGTCTACGCCGCTCCCATGTTTGACCACCCGATCTGTGGAAGAACTTGTGTCATTATGACGAGGAAGCGCCTTTGGTGCCCTCGTCAGGATCACAGGAAATGGAGCAGAGTGATGGAATACACTTGATAAATAATCAAATTTATGGATGTCCCCATATGTTTCTTTTTTTGACACACTGGTAGTGTTTTTGAAGCTAAATAACACTTTGTTAACAGCACAGAATGTGCCACGAACCTTAATATATTCTTTAGCTGACACAAACTCAAAACAGTGATTGTGTTTCCAACTTGAAAATGCAACTCTGGCCGCTTCCTCCATTGTTATTTTTCATGTGGTCGAATTTGACACGTGACATGGCCCATATGCGACTTCACACCCCCAAACGGGAAAGCAAGTCCCAGAATGCCTCACTTGCATCTGTAAACACTCTAGTTCCCTTTCCTTCAGTGTAATGCGGGATGCCAGCATTCGTCGAAACATGACTGACTCACTCAGTACCAAAGACGTCTTTTCACGTCATTTACATTTTTTACGGGGAAGGGTGGAGGAGAGTCTGATACTTCTCGCATGTGAATTTTAATCTTGTGAAGAGCAGTAATGAGGCACAAACGCCCACAGATAGCAGCCAAGCCCCATTTTAGATTTGAGATCAGCCCCGTTTTGTGACTGCACCGCAGGGCTTCCCAACTACCGGTCCTCGTGCCATTTAATACTGGGCCTCACAGAAACACCATTTATTTATTGATTTTTACCATACAAAGGTGTATGTACACATATAAGAATTGATCGAGAACCCTTTCGGGTATTCCAAGTACTTTGTTCAACAGTCAGCTGACTAGATGAATCATGACCTATCCATGCTATCCATCATGTGTTCGTTACATGCACCCAGGGCCCAGAAACGTCCACCCTGTTATTGTCCACTCTGTCACATATTCCAGCGCAATAATCTTGCAAAATCACCAATTTAAAAATAAAACAAATGCACAATTATGGCGGCGTAACATGACATAAAAGGCAATACTTGAGCGCCTTGAACATCATCACACCGATGCCGGCGGGCGGTGGAGGGGCGCTTAGAGCAGCATGTGCCCGTTGCTGTGGCGACGGGTTCAAGAGGGGGAGAGTTTGGCAGCGCTACACGCCAACACAATGGTTCCTCCTCGCACCCAAGCCGCATTAAACATATTAAACACAGTCTCTTTTTTTGCACACGCACACACATGCGCCCAATCCGCTTAAGGAACCCTCCCTTGTTTTGTGTGTGTGTGTGTGTGTGTGTGTGTGTGTGTGTGTGGCAACACTAATAAGAGGCGAGAAGCAAGCGTTAGTCATCTAACTCAGCAATTTACAAAGCGTGTATGCAGGCTCCCTCTGGCAGCCGCAGTACATGAAAGAATCACTACCTAAATGCAGTTCAGTTGTATTTAACTTTTTAGTGCAATATATTAAAACAAAAGCTTTTTTTTTTTTAAACTACGGTTTTATTTTCCTATATTTACAAAGCGTGCTAATGTTTTAACTATGCACAATGATATACTGGCCAACAATCATATCAAGTCTACTTTATAAAAATAAAACCTATGTTTTTGTTTTTGATGAACATTTTAGGCCTACTATACGCATATTTTTGGCCATGAAGGTGGTTCTTGGTGCAGAAAAGGTAAGAAACACTGGTTCGACAGTTTGGGGGTCGAGCAGAATGAGGCGAAGGGATTAAATATGCAGGAATTCCAAAGGAAGCAGCAGAAGCATACAGATGGAAACTGGGCACTCTGGCCCCATCTTCTGGACAACCAGTCTGAGAACGGCGTGGCAAGAACAAGTCTCGCCTCATTGGAGAAATCCAAGACAATTTTTTTCTCAACATTTTAACTTTTTTTTAATGAATGTAATTATATGTGATAGGATATATTTACTTTATTCACGTAGGTGAATATTAGGAACGTTGTGGAAGTAGACGTGTCACCTGATGTGCAGCCAAGACAACATGGGCGTGGTCCCGCCTCCGAAAACCCACACGGTGAAGAAGACGATGAGCAGCGTGGTGGTGAAGATCATCTGCCGGGCGTACGTTGCCGTGTCGCGGATGGCCAAGGCAAACGCCATCGCCCCGCGCAGTCCTGAGAATCAATCGCACCATCAAAGGAATATAGGAATGGCAACAGTAATATTAGCCATCGGATGCCCAGAGCTCTTGCTGGCCTTGAAAATCTAGATCAGTTGAAATTTACACCCAAAACGTATTTTTTGGGCCGTCGCATTAATATAGGAGGACAACCGAACACACTGATTACCAATCTGTGAAACCCTCATCAAGACCTTTAATTTGAGGTGTGACTCGATATGGTTTGTTGCCAAGAAGATTTATGACCCCGTTACGAGTCAAAACTCGACATGGAGCTTCGCGGGGAGGGGACGCACCGGCAAACATCATCATGTGCTGGAAGTTTCCTTTGATCTTGTGTCTGCGGCCCAGGTTGAGCAGAAAGGAGAGCGGGTAGATGTTCAAGGCTCGTCCCAGGAAGATGGCAACCTGCCAGGCGATTGGTTAAGACATTTTTCTGCTCGAAATAACATTTTAGCTAGCGGCTGATGAGGATACAAAAGCGCCCGTGATGAAGATGGGGCTGAAGATGTGGTTCTGGAAGGTGAACAGAGCCAAGCCCATGTAGGAGAAGATGAAGTTCTCAGCCAGGAAGTGAAGCACCTCGAAGAGCTTGCGGAAGGACGCAGAATACAAATAGCAAAATGGTCACTTCATTAGGTACACATAGACAACCTGATGAGGTCTAACACAAGGGTTGGATAAATTGTTTTGACTAAGATTTCTGGCTAGCATGACGAGAGGTGTCAAGGCGGGAAACAATTGCGGATTCGTGTTGTTAGCTTAATAGCAAAGTTGCGTAGCTCATTTTGAATTTAGCTAGAAGTAAAACGTGTACACTCAATATTTTGACCGGAATGAAATCCTGCGCAAATAATTCAGATTCAGAATTTGATGGCAGAAACAGACTTCCAGAAAGACGACAAACATGTCAAAAGGCTGATGCAAGTGATGTGAGTGAATGCCGCACAACTCCAGCCGTGCGGTGAGTCAGCGTCGCTCACGGCATGTTTCTGAGTTGTATTTCCATAAATAAACGATTCTTTTGCCATCAGAAGCCCTTTGCCAGTCTTAGCTTCCTTGTTTTATTGGGTGAAGTGTCACAGCAGCAAAAAAATTAGCGTCACTCTCCTGCTCGACATGCTTCCTTTCACAAAAAGCCCGTTGTACTCGCGTTCATCAGGAAACCAAACCGCGTCGCCCTGCGGGTTACTAAAGAAGAGAAAAACTCGAAAATCTCGATATTTTCTGGCGAAGGAAAAGAGACTACGCTTTCTTTTTGGCTTCTATTGTCACATAACACAACATTGTCCATCAAAATGCTCTAAATTTCTTAATTCCTTTGGAAATAACACATACAATTCAGTTCAGCAATTGTAGGATATTAATATGTCGCGTGCCTTGAGTTGTACAGGTTTTCAATTTTGTGGCCGTACTCTTTGGCCTGGTTCGAGGTCTACAGTCTCCTCATGTGCCCAATTAATCAGAATGCACCTATGTACAGTGAGGCCAGTAACATGTTACTCAGTAACGCGTTACTCAGTAATGGCCGCCATTTTGAGTAACTACGCGAGTTCTCTCATGCGTTGGTATATCTAATTTAGTCGTCTGATTCACGATTTACAACATCTACGCCCTACCACATGGGTTAAGTGACATCACCTATGCGCCAAGTCACGTTTTTAGCCCGTTGACGTCTCAGGTGTACAAAACAATGAAAGAAATAGAGACGCTCCGATTTTCCAGTTGGGAACACGGTCCCGATGTGGAGTCTGTGACAGCTAGGTTAAGATGAAAATATTAAAAGTGACAAAATTGCTATCCAGCTTTAATCAGTCATGGGTACGTTACTTTCAAAATCAAGTTATTAGATAAATTGTACCTAATGTTGTGACCCTGCGGGATACTCTCGTATTACTTTTCGATTGTACCCCTCTCTGTGGGGAAAAATATGAGCATGTTATGGATGTAATCCGTGGACTATGACTTCACAGGCTGAACAGCCGTAGTGTCAGAAGGGATGTCCTGTCAGACGATTGGTGGCGATTAAGGTCACAGCAGGCAGATCGTTGGGCCATCTGGCATGGGGATACTGCCCACTGGTGTGTGTGTGTGTGTGTGTGTGTGTGCTCACCTGCTTTGTACGCTTGGTGGACTCTCCGGAGAGATTGTTGTAGGTGTAGTGAGCCTGTGTGATGCCACAGAACAGCACGGACACCACCCCTGCAGAAACACAGCTTATTTGGTCACCCCGGCGTCATGTGTGGGTATATTGACAAAAGTAATTGCACGTCGAGGAAGCAGTCGTGGAGACCTTTGATTATGATTTAAGTATGATGTCATTGGGTTTGTGGCAATATGATGATCACGCTTCGAGTCCAAATTGACCTAAGGCGTCGTAAATTGTTTTTGGTTACAACACGAATTGGGCAACTTCAACGATGGAGTGTGGGGGGCGGGGCGGATTTTTTTTTCATTAGGGTTAGCCACATTAATTTGAGGTATAACTCCATGTGGTTTGGGGCAAAGTGATTTGACACAGCCACTGGTCAAAATTGACCTTGGATTGCATGTTTTTTTTCTGTTTACCACATCAGAATATGAGTGCATAATGACAAAATATCAGGTTTTTAAATCCAGAATCCATTTAATTTGAGTTATAAGACCATATGGTTCGTGGCCAATTGATTTATGACCCTGTTCTTGGTCATGATGGAATTTCCTCACCCGTAAATCCGCAGGCCTCTGCCAGCAGGAAGGTGCTCCAGGACATGAGGAAGAAGAGGCCCGTCTCCAGCAAAGGGAAGCAGTGCAGCTTGGTGAACTTGGTCACGTACGGACCAGGATTACAGTTAGGGATAGAACAACTGAATATTGTTTGGGTTTTATCAGAGTCATTTTAAATGGTGGCAGGTGTGTAGTGACTCCCATTTAACATGAAATGGAATGTGAATGGTTAATTCTGAATACAGCCACATCCTCAGTTCTAAGGAAGTGTGTAGACTTTTGCAACCAAAAAAAAAAAAAAAAATTGAAATGATTCAACTTGGTCTGAATTTTTTAAAATAAAAAAACCTGGTATTTGAATAGGGGTGTGTCTACTTTTTTTATCTTCTAGGTTGATTTTGACTTATAAAGAATTCAAGAAAAGGATATGAGAGCAGTGACCACCCCAGTGGCGGCGCCCATCATGAAGGAGCCGCTGAAAATTCCCAGGAAAACCCCCACGGACTTGAAGAAGGCCGAGGCGTCGAACATGTGCGTGTTGGCGCCTCGGGGTTGGTAGGCCATGATGGAGCTGAAATTTTTTGGGGGGGAAAAAAAAAAGAAAGGTAGAGAAAAGATACATGTATGGTAATTTGGTTTATTTTTATAGTTATTATAAATACATTTATTTATTATTTTTAAAACCTAAACGTACTCATGTTACCTGGTTTCAACACAAGGGGTGTTATGAAAACTTGCCACTAGAGGGAGCCAGAATACTGAACGTTTCGAAAATTTAAATTGCTTTCAAAAATGGTCATGTGCTTTTTACGTTCTTAAAAATGACTTTTTTGTGGGGGGGGGTGGTCTTGTG